TTAGAGAAGAGCTAACACCTATCTTACTCAAACTCTTCCAGAAAATTGCAGAAGAAGGTAAACTTCCAACTCATTCTATGAGGCCACCATCACCCTAATTCCAAAACCAGACAAAGATGCCACAAAAAAAGAAAACTACAGGCCAATATCACTGATGAACATAGATGCAAAAATCCTTAACAAAATTCTAGCAAACAGAATCCAACAACATATTAAAAAAATCATACATCATGACCAAGTGGGCTTTATCCCAGGAATGCAAGGATTCTTTAATATCCGCAAATCAATCAATGTAATACACCACATTAACAAATTGAAAGATAAAAACCATATGATTATCTCAATAGATGCAGAAAAAGCCTTTGACAAAATTCAACATCCATTTATGATTAAACCCTCCAGAAAGCAGGAAAAGAAGGAACATACCTCAACATAATAAAAGCTATATATGACAAACCCACAGCAAGCATCACCCTCAATGGTGAAAAATTGAAAGCATTTCCCCTGAAATCAGGCACAAGACAAGGGTGCCCACTCTCACCACTACTATTCAACATAGTTTTGGAAGTTTTGGCCACAGCAATCAGAGCAGAAAAAGAAATAAAAGGAATCCAGATAGGAAAAGAAGAAGTGAAACTCTCGCTGTTTGCAGATGACATGATCCTCTACATAGAAAATCCTAAAGACTCTACCAGAAAATTACTAGAGCTAATCAACAAATACAGTAAAGTTGCAGGATATAAAATTAACACACAAAAATCTCTTGCATTCCTATACACTAACAATGAGAAAACAGAAAGAGAAATTAAGGAAACAATACCATTCACCATTGCAACAAAAAGAATAAAATACTTAGGAGTATATCTACCTAAAGAAACAAAAGACCGATACATAGAAAACTATGAAACACTGATGAAAGAAATCAAAGAGGACACAAACAGATGGAGAAATATACCGTGTTCATGGATTGGAAGAATCAATATTGTCAAAATGGCTATACTACCCAAAGCAATCTACAGATTCAATGCAATCCCTATCAAACTACCAATGGTATTTTTCACAGAACTAGAACGAATAATTTCACAATTTGTATGGAAATACAAAAACCTCGAATAGCCAAAGTAATCCTGAGAAAGAAGAATGGAACTGGAGGAATCAATCTGCCTGACTTCAGACTATACTACAAAGCCACAGTCATCAAGACAGTATGGTACTGGCACAAAGACAGAAATATAGATCAATGGAACAGAATAGAAAGCCCAGAGATAAATCCACGAACCTATGGTCACCTTATCTTTGACAAAGGAGGCAAGGATATAATGGAAAAAAGACAACCTCTTTAACAAGTGGTGCTGGGAAAACTGGCCAACCACCTGTAAAAGAATGAAACTAGAACACTTTCTAACACCATACACAAAAATAAACTCAAAATGGATTAAAGATCTAAATGTAAGACCAGAAACTATCAAACTCCTAGAGGAGAACATAGGCAAAACACTCTCCGACATAAATCACAGCAGGATCCTCTATGACCCACATCCCAGAATTTTAGAAATAAAAGCAAAAATAAACAAATGGGACCTAGTTAAACTTAAAAGCTTTTGCACAACAAAGGAAACTATAAGCAAGGTGAAAAGACAGCCCTCAGATTGGGAGAAAATAATAGCAAACGAAGCAACGGACAAAGGATTAATCTCAAAAATATACAAGCAACTCCTCCAGCTCAACTCCAGAAAAATAAATGACCCAATCAAAAAATGGGCCAAAGAACTGAACAGACATTTCTCCAAGGAAGACATACAGATGGCTAACAAACACATGAAAAGATGCTCAACATCACTCATTATCAGAGAAATGCAAATCAAAACCACACTGAGGTACCATTACACACCAGTCAGGATGGCTGCTATCCAAAAGTCTACAAGCAATAAATGCTGGAGAGGGTGTGGAGAAAAGGGAACCCTCTTACACTGTTGGTGGGAATGCAAATTAGTACAGCCACTATGGAAAACAGTGTGGAGATTTCTTAAAAAGCTGGAAATAGAACTGCCATATGACCCAGCAATCCCACTTCTGGGCATACACACCGAGGAAACCAGATCTGAAAGAGACACGTGCACCCCAATGTTCATCGCAGCACTGTTTATAATAGTCAGGACATGGAAGCAACCTAGATGCCCATCAGCAGACGAATGGATGAGGAAGCTGTGGTACATATACACCATGGAATATTACTCAGCCATTAAAAAGAATTCATTTGAATCAGTTTTAATGAGATGGATGAAACTGGAGCCCATTATACAGAGCGAAGTAAGCCAGAAAGATAAAGACCATTACAGTATACTAACACATATATATGGAATTTAGAAAGATGGTAACGATAACCTTATATGCAAAACAGAAAAAGAGACTCCGATGTATAGAACAGACTTGTGGACTCTGGGAGAAGGCGAGGGTGGGATGTTTCAAGAGAACAGCATCGAAACATGTATATTATCTAGGGTGAAACAGATCACCAGCCCAGGTTGGGTGCATGAGACAAGTGCTCGGGCCTGGTGCACTGGGAAGACCCAGAGGGATCGGGTGGAGAGGGAGGTGGGAGGGGGGACCCGGATGGGGAATACATGTAAATCCATGGCTAATTCATTTCAATGTATGACAAAAAAAAAAAAAAAAAGTCATTCTCATAGTCAAGGCCATATAGATCTACCCTATGTGATTTTCTAAGCGTTTTATAGTTTTAACCCTTATATTTAGGTCTTTGATCCATCTTAATAAGCTAATTTTAACGGATAGAGAGATAGGAGTATTAGATGGCCAAGCTTGGAAGCACAGGTTCCAGTGCTCTTATTTGAACTCCAATAAAGCACAGTTTTCACTTGGAAAAAAAAAAAAAATAAGAGGGGAAGGACTTTTTAGGTTCCAGGAATTGGAAGAAGTCTAGAATGGGAGGAGTACCCAAAGTGAAAAGAGGAGTCAAGGAGATGAGACTTAAGAAATGATGATCAAGACCCATGGAGGGCATTAGGGGTTTGGCACTTCTAAGTGGAACCAGCGAAAGATGTAAGTAAGGAAGCAACATGACAGATGTGCACCTTAGAAAGGCCATTCTAACCGCAGAGTGATGCAGAGACTGGACTAGGGAAGACTGGAGGCAGGGAGACTCCTTTTAAGCTCTGCAGTAAAGGACAAAACTAGTGGAGGAATTCAAGAGATGGTCAGGAGGCAAAATCAATTGAACATGAGGATCGAATTCTGAGGTTCCCTAAACCTCTTTGACATAGAGGTCTGGAGCTCAGGGGAGAGCTGTGTTAAGAACCGTCAACACAGGAATCATCCCCATGTGGATGGTCACTAAAGCCATAAGAAAGGCTGAAATGGCCAGAGAGCATACATGAAGCCATGAAAAACACATACATTTAAGAATGAGGAGGAAAAATATTCAGCCACAAAAAGAATAAAAGCTTGCCATTTGCAACAGCAACATGAGTGGACCCTGAGGTCACTATGCTAAGTGAAATAGGTCAGAGAAAGAGGAACACCATATCTAAATGATATATGTAATCTAAACAACAAAACAAGCTTATACAGTACTGATTAGTGTTTGTGAGAAGGGAGGGGGTGGGGGTGGACAAAATGACTGAAGAGGGTCAAAAGGTAGCATAGGTCCAGCTATAAAATAAGTCAGTCCAGGGGATGTGATGTACAGCATGGGGACTACAGTTGATAATGCTGTATTACATATTTGAAATTTGCTAAGCAAGTAAATCTTAAAAGTCCTCATCACAAGAAAAAAAAAAGAGGAAAAATTTCGTAACTGTGCATCATCATGATGATGGATGATGATTAGACTTATGTTGGTGATCATTTTGTAGTGTACACAGATATCCCATCATTATGTTGTACACCTGAAATTAATATAATGTTACATTCAATTATATCTCAGTTTAAAAAAAGAAAAAGGAAATGTGCCAGGGACAGGGAGAAGACAGAATGGGGAGCTATTATTTAATAACAGAGCTTCAATCTGGGATGATGAAAAGTGCTGGAGATGGATGGTGGTGATGATTACCAACAACGTGATGTGCTTAACATCACAGAATTGTAGACTTAAAAATGGTTAAAATGGTAAACTTTATGTGAGGTGTGTTTTGCCACAATTAAAAGGAAAAAAGAGACACTTCTGTGCTATTTGTATCTTTTCAGAGTAAGAATGTATTCACATATTGCTAATGAAAAATCAAGACAAATGGTGACGGGAAGGAGGAATGAGCACAGGCAGCGGGCCGTGCAGAGGAAACTGAACGAGGACCGGCAGGGAGGCTGGTAGGTTACAGCACGGAAGCCCGGAGCAGCACTGCCGGAAGAAGTGTCTGACCGCTGTGAATGCCCCAGGGAACTGAATCAGGTAAGGCTGGAAAAAGACCCACTGCTTTCGGGAACATGGAGGTCAGTGGTGACCCTGGAGAGGGCTGCTGACAGTAGAAACCAGAGGCGAGAATGGGTCGGAAAACAGAACCCAGGGTGCAGACAGCCAGAAGTCTGATGCTATGGAGAGGAGGACGATGGTGGCTGGAGGGGAAAGTAATAGATGCTTTTTTTTTTTTAAGTACATTAAAATATCACCATGCATAATTGGCAAAGCAATCACTTCAGTGGAAATACAATTTTATGTTTAAAATATCTCAATAATACCTGGAATTTAAAGATTACAGAACTTCTGATACTTCTTATGGCTTAGAAAGGATAACTCTAAATTTCTTTCCTTCTAAGCATGGCAGAGTTGAGCCACAGAAAGCTTTTTCTAAGAGAATTTACAAGGAATTGCACTTCATCAGATAAATATCTTCACTGATTTTTTTTTTCAAGGTAGAAAAGTACAATGCACTGTGTTAAAGCACTTTTACTATTAATAGACATGTTGAAAAAGTCTATAATTTTAAGGCTACAAATGTATTAATTTTCAGTACACGTCCAGTAGAAAATGCTTTATATTCCAATCACATCCTCAAGATGCCGAAGTTAGTCTTCTGGATGGGTGCATTGAGGGCAGCACTAAGACTGAGGCCCAGGACCAGCCTGGTGTCCACTGGATCGATAATCCCATCATCCCACAGCCTGAAAAAAGACCAAAAAGTGAGTGACTATGAATCCTGCACCAAACACCCAGTTATACTCACAATGCCTAAAAGTGCTAAGGAGGTCTTTCTGCAGGTAATATATGGATCCCCTGATGAGCTTCTGTGTATTATAATCTCACAATAGAAACCATGATCAAGAACAGGAGAGAGGAAGAAAAGAAAAATGACTTGTCTCAGGCCCCATAGAATGTCAAGTTGAACTTGAGGCTTTAGGAGCAGCTTACTACAAGGAACCTCAAAATAAACCCTGGTTTTAAAATAATTTATTTCATGAAAAGCTTTCCCATCCCTCCTCTGCCCACACAAACATTCAAACCAAAATGATATATTACTGCTATTATTATGGAGATCCATATAAACCAAGCTAAGAGTCTCTAACCAAAGCCCCCACTGAAAAAGGTATAGTCCCCCAAACTCCTAAGAAACTATGAAAATTATTAAATAGACTTCAGTCCATTTTATTAATAAAATAAATATCTTCATATGTAGTTCTTTATTTTTTGCTACAATAGGAAAAGCAAGTAATGGTTTTAAACTGATTTCAGAAAAAATTTACAAGGAGATATCCTAGTTTGCTATTCCTGGACAACCTTACATTTATATAGAAAAATGAAAAAGAAACAATATTTTTAAAGGTCATTAGTGGGTGTCAGGTTTGCTTTTTGTAAACAAACTGCCTTCAGTATCTAGACATAGCATCAATTATTAAACCATACTTACATTGACAGACCATGAATCAAATCTTTGCTCATAAAACATTCATAATAAGTACCCTAAAGTAGCAATAGGCAATAAAAAAATTATTTTTGTAACCTGTTCAATTGATTATACACTCCCTCTGAAGCCTGCATGCCTGTGTGCTCAGTCATGTCCAACTGTTAGCAACAACATGGACTGTAACCCCCCGCCAGGCTCCTCTGTCCATGGAATTTTCCAGGCAAGAATACTGGAACGGGTTGCCACTTCCTTCTCCAGGGGATCTTCCCGAACCAGGGATTGAACCTGCGTCTCCTGCATCGGCAGGCAGATTCTTTACCACTACACCACCCGGGAAGCCCTTCTGGAACCTACAGCAGAGTAACATAGCAAGCACAATGATATCAAGGTTGCTCTAGGTAAGAGGTCCTTAATCAAATGTCTGGATAAATTTGGTTATAAAAACAACTGAGAAGAAGAAAATTGGCATGCTGTACATGTAACATGTAAGGACTAAGAAAAACACAGGAGGTTACAGTACAGATGATGACAGAGCTCTCTGAAAAGACACACCTAGCCACATTAAAGCCTAAACAGACCAGGAAATTTATTATTAAACAGATTCATCAAACTGAAGGAAAGTGCCATAAGCTGGCTTAAAAATCCTTTCATCTTTGAAACAAAGTTGGTATATCCATGCCACCAATTGTTTTAACAGAGTAAACATCTACAGATTAACAGAAAAACCTTAGTCTTTCAATATGAAATCCCAGAGATAAGTCTAACTGGGCCATATGCTCTCCTGTCTTGAATATACTCCATTAAAAATAGTAATAACATAAGTATGAAAATAATAAGGGGTTCAGTCTAGCTAGGGATGAAAAATTAATGGCTCACACAAAATATGCTACTTTTCAAAGTTTAATATTCCAATTGTCCTTGTGAATTTCAAAGTCTTATGTACAAGCAAATTACAGGTGAGCTTATAATATATACTTTCTCTTTAACTTTTTATATGATTTTCTATTCCCTCTTAGCTTCTACTGGCTACTACGTAAGCCTGTTTCAGTGAGGGTAAAAAAGAACATACAATTTCTCAGACCAAAGACTATATAAAATATTCTGTCCTCAATTAAGTGAATCAATGACCAGCCACAACAAAATACACTTGGACATTTGCTTTCAGAAATACATATTAACAAGAAGAGAAACAGGTTTTCCAAAATCCCAAATGGTATTAATTTAAAATTGTGAATGCTCTGGGAGATAAGTATGTTCAGTCATTGTAGCCCCCCATCACCAGGAGCAGAGTCTGCCACAAAAGATGCATTCAAGGGACTGACATGGATTCTAACTTTTGATTTTCCTTTCTCCCTTCTCTCTGATTTCTCCACTAAATGACACAAATCACAGCATAATCTAATTTTAAAAGACACAAATAGTTATTTTCTTTTTTCCATCTGCCCAAAGGATAAAAGGAAGACATGAAGCTTAAATTATTCTTCAGAATGCAGAACATTAAAGCTGTTGAAAAAGAGGTCGGAAAGCACACACATGTCTCCAATGGGGACAGCTGGGATAATTTATTACCTCATTTAAGTGGTGTAAGAAACAAACAGAATAAGAACCACAATGGTATGTGACGTAATTGCTTAATGTCGACACGTGGACCCTGGCTATGAATAATCACCTTCTGAATACACCAGGCTCACTTGTTAAGAAGTGTCACTAAGTGTTTGACCATTTTCATGTTTAAATGGAGTAAGAGCAAAATAATCAGGAAGGGGGATGACAGGGATTCATGTGTCTGAGCAAAAATTATTGCAGAACTAATTCCTGAAAGTGACACAGCCAGGATGATAACTCAACTTCCCAGCCCAGTGTGGTCCACCTCTGGCCCCAGTGTGGTCCAGGCCTTGGACCACTCAACTAGAAGTGGGCTAAGGGAAGAGGCGGGGAGAGTGGCAGGATCAGACCAACAGGGATGGATAAAAAGTCCAGCCTGGAAGAAGAGCCAGCATTTCAGCAGCAGGCATTTCCATCACAGAAACAACAGTACAAAATTGTGTCCAAAAGTTATTTTTTGGCTCCCACGAGGGCTAGATGATGGATGAGGCCAACTGCTCAGATCTCATAAAGCTATTGCTCTGACTGTCAAGATGTGCCCATGAAAGAGTTGGTTATTCTCTGACTCCCACCTTGCACTGGAATAGTAAGGGTTTCCTTCCTCTTCAAACCTCTTAATGATGGGCTCTTTTAAAGCTGCTTCATCAGCACTGGAGAACTGAAAGAAAAGCGACCATGAGTAAGTCCTCCTGCAGGGGAACGACAGATCCACTCAAGACAACCTCAAGGAAAAAGGGGGCAACAGGTTTCATGAATGACAGTGTTAGAACCAACATCTGAACAGTGAGGTGTAGATTACGTGTGATGCTTTAACATGTATGATCTCACCTGAGACGTGAGTATCTAATAAATTAGTGCAGTTACATCTCTCTCATCAGAGCCAATATCCTGAAGTTACTTAACATAAGGTCAATACCAAGGTTATCACATATTTTAGCAGGGTAGAGCAACTGGATGTGAATTATACAACATAACAAAAGGGCTATATTACATTCAACAGCTTCTGTTTAAGGAGGTGGAGAAGTTGGGGATTTTCATTCAAAATAGCCAAAATTTTAAAGATTTTAAAGTTTAAAGGGATAGGACAATAAACCACATTTTAAATAATCTCTGCAATTTTCTAGATAGCTGAGATTTTCCTATAACTAACATTTAAGGGCTTGCCCATCCATATTGCCAGAAACAAGTGATAATTAATTCGGACTGCAAACTCTTTATGCAAATTAATTTTGAAATCCTGAAAAGTATTTTCAACTTAAAGATTTTTTTTTCAAATAAATCCAAGCTTTTCTTATGTACTTTCATTGGTTAATGTCATTTATAACTCAAGAATTTAATGGGAAAACCACTAAAATCCTACACTTTCCTTTAGCACATAAAAATAGATGAATTCATATATCTGTATACAAAATTAATCAAATGACTATTTAATAAGGTATCACTGTGCTGGGCTAGCATTTAAGACATGTCTTCAAAACATCAGGTAGAATTGCATAGACCCCACTCCTCCATGCCCCTCTGCACACACAAAAGTGAGGCTTTCCTTTTGCTTGGATACTAGTCAGCACTAAAGTGAACCTGAAACCTCAATTCCACAGAATTCCTGTCGCTTGGGATGAGAGGCGTGGATGAGATGCATTCAGGGAGGCAGGAACCACCCTCTGGCTTTATACCATCCTCACTCCACACACCAGGCAGTTGACCAGATGATCAATCTCTAAATGACAGAACTGACAGCCTGGAAAGACAGGGTGTTCTCTGTGCTGTGCCTTACTATGATGAAACAGTGCATCCAAGCAACTTCAGGAGCATTCACCAATCACGAAATAGTTGTAAGTTATAATAAACTATAATGCAAAATTTCAGATGAATCTCTAACAGACACAAACAAAAGACTCCATCTAAAAGCAGTCATTTGCTGATCTGCCTTTCGTTAAGCTTCCAGGGTCCTTTCCAGCCTTCTTCATCGATACTTTCACAATGTAATAACGGTATTCAATTCTCATTATAGGACAGGGCCTCCCACTCAAGGTATCCTTAACAACAATCTACAAGTAAAATAGGAAACAAAATTCTGCGACTTTAGATCATAAAACCAAAGACCTAAGTCAGGGTTATTTAAATCTCTTTCACTGCAAATAACTAAGAATCAAACACCTTTATGCCTCAGGCACTCACAGACAAGAGTTCTGAAGTGTTTTCTTAGAGATTCTAAAAAATGTATAAATTACTACAAGAAGTTACTTCAAATGAAATGGCTTTAAAAAGAGAGATGGAGAATGTGGAGGTCTAAGTTGCTAAAACAACTTCCAGGCCAGCATCTTCTAGAGAAAGCCAGGCCCTGCATGTTGGAACCGTGTCCATGAACTTGGCGGGGTGCTGGGTGCCTGCCCCGGCTCCAGCGCCTGGGGAAACTCAGACAGTAATTTACCTGTTTCCCTTCCCGCGCTCTTTGGTCCTTTGCTACTGTCGCCAACACGTTAGCTGCCTGCTCTCCTCCCATCACTGAGATGCGAGCATTTGGCCACAAGTAGAGAAATCTTGGGCTATGCAGGGAGAAATGAAAGAATGATCAAATGAATTCACTGTACCACACAGAGATTTGCAGAGGCTTGTGTTTACCTTTTAAATTAGTGGTTCTTCATTCGGGTTGCATGCTATATTTATCTGAAGATTAACAAAAACAACAACAATGCCTAGAACCTACTGCAAGCTAATCTCCAGCAGTGGGGTTTCAGCATGGTAGAATTTTTAAGTTCTCCAGGTGATTGTAATGTCTGTTTCGATGAATTATATTTTTCCATTTTATTTTGTTATTCCAATTTATTGCCCAAATTTACTGGGCAAAAATGTATTCAAAAGATATTATTATTATGTGTGGTTATATGCCATTTTCATTCCTAAAATTGGTGATACATCACCTTCTCCCTTTATTTTTTAGTTTTAACAGGGGACTCTCAAGTTTGTAACCCTTTTAAACACAGCAACTTTGGGCTTTCCTGATTCTTCTATCTTTATAATGTTTGTGCTTTATTATGTCCTGTCTCTATTTTTCTTGTTTTAATACCCTGCTCTTCTTTGAACTTCTTGGGCTAGCTGCTTGGCTCAGTAATTTTCAGCCTTACCTCTTTTCCAGTATATATATGTAAAGTCTACACACCTTCTTCAAAACAAGACTTTAGCTGCATCACACAAGTTATGATACGATATATAGTATTTTCATTATCAGCCATCTCAAAATATGTCCTAATTCCCACTTTGGATTTCTTCCAAGTGGTACCTTTAGCATTAAATTTCATCTCACCCCTCCAGAGGATGCAAATTATGGCCTAATTGATTGGGATTTGTGAATGTCATTTTATGTTTCAAATAAACTTGAAACAAACTAACCATTCATAATTATACCTGAAGTATGATTCACTCTTTCAGAGAAAGTCATGACAACCACCTACCTATACGCTCTGCCACACATCCCATAGTTTCCAGCCCCGTAAGATCCCCCAATGATGACAGTTATCTTCGGCACGTTGGCACAAGCTACAGCAGTCACCATCTTGGCACCATCCTTGGCAATGCCTTCAGCTTCATAGTCTCGACCAACCATAAATCCTGCGAGGAAAGAACAGAAAGAGAGCCTCAGGGCGATGAGATTAATGTGCACAGTCATTCTCACCAAGGTACGCAAGGACATCTTATCAAACTATACGTATTTTACCAGAGGCCTCTCACCCTGATAAAATATTTATATGTGAAATACGCCCCCTCCCAAATTTACTTTTAAGGCTAAAATAAAATTTTCTCTAGTCATTTAAAAAACTGCTTAAATGTTTCATCTGGATACACACAGAAATCTTCAGACAAGATAACAATGCCACATATCTTCAAGAAATTAATCTCAAAACTACAGCTTGGTGAGGAAAGAACAGGATGAGGCAAGTTAAGGAGAAAGTTCTGGGGCAAGTCCAACCGTGAAAATGCAGGTTTCAGGGCTCACTGACTGGTTCACAATATTGATCATTCCTTCTGAAGTGCTGCTTTAAACTTTGAGGAAATAAAATGAATGCTTCAGAGAGATGCTCAGAGTCCCTGTCAGTGACTCAATAGCAAGATAAAAGAATTCTCATTATCATTACAGGATCCTTCTACTTCTCCAAGCTGCCAGCTCTGTTGAAACTGATCTGCAGCATCACTGGGCCTTCCAGGCCTTGGGGTCCTTTTCCTCTTCACCTTATTACAGACACCAAGTCAGGCTTCATCTGTCTCCCTCCCCATATGCAGATTCACATGCCTACTTGATAGTTGCTGTTCTTGCTCTGCACATCTCCTGCATTGGGTAATTCAATTCAACCACTTTTTCTGGATCACCTGTACTTGCTGTGGCTACAACAATACTGATACAGTAACCCTTGCCCTCACCAGGCACCATCTGCTTTCTCTGGGTACCCACCACAACCCTCTGAATTGGGCCCTCAGAACAGCTTAGAAACTCCTTTATCCATTTTAGCTTGACTCCCTGTAACATTTCCACAATCAGTTCAGCTCAGTTCAGTCGCTCAGTCGTGTCCGACTCATTGTGACCCCATGAATCGCAGCACGCCAGGCCTCCCTGTCCATCACCAACTCCTGGAGTCCACTCAAACCCATGTCCATTGAGTCAGTGATGCCATCCAGCCATCTCATCCTCTGTCCTCCCCTTCTCCTCCTGCCCCCAATCCCTCCCAGCATCAGGGTCTTTTCCAATGAGTCAGCTCTTCTCATGAGATGACCAAAGTACTGGAGTTTCAGCTTCAGCATCAGTCCTTCCAATGAACACCCAGGACTGATCTCCTCTAGGATGGACTGGTTGGATCTCCTTGCAGTCCAAGGGACTCTCAAGAGTCTTCTCTAACACCACAGTCCAAAAGCATCAATTTTTTGGCGCTCAGCTTTCTTCACAGTCCAACTCTCACATTCATACATGACCACTGGAAAAACCATAGCCTTGACTAGACGGACCTTTGTTGGCAAAGTAATGTCTCTGCGTTTTAATATGCTATCTAGGTTGGTCATAACTTTCCTTCCAAGGAGTATGCGTTTTTTAATTTCATGGTTACAATCACCATCTGCAGTGATTTTGGAGCCCCAAAACATAAAGTCTGACACTGTTTCCACTGTCTCCCCATCTATTTCCCATGAGGTGATGGGACCAGATGCCATGATCTTAGTTTTCTGAATGTTAAGCTTTAAGCCAACTTTTTCACTCTCCTCTTTCACTTTCATCAAGAGGCTTTTAAGTTACTCTTCACTTTCAGCCATAAGGGTGGTGTCATCTGCATATCTGAGGTTATTGATATTTCTCCTGGCAATCTTGATTCCAGCTTGTGCTTCTTCCAGCCCAGAGTTTCTCATGATGTACTCTGCATATAAGTTAAATAAGCAGGGTGACAACATATAGCCTTGATGTACTTCTTTCCTGATTTGGAACCAGTCTGTTGTTCCATGTCCAGTTCTAACTGTTGCTTCCTGACCTGCATACAGGTTTGTCAAGAGGCAGGTCAGGTGGTCTGGTATTCCCATCTCTTTCAGAATTTTCCAGTTTATTGTGATCCACACAGTCGAAGGCTTTGGCGTAGTCAATAAAGCAGAAATAGATGTTTTTCTGGAACCGGATATTGGCAATTTGATCTCTGGTTCCTCTGCCTTTTCTAAAACCAGCTTGAACATCTGGAAGTTCACGGTTCACGTATTGCTGAAGCCTGGCTTGGAGAATTTTGAGCATTACTTTACTAGCCTGTGAGATGAGTGCAATTGTGCGGTAGTGTGACCATTCTTTGGCATTGCCTTTCTTAGGGATTGGAATGAAAACTGACCTTTTCCAGCCCTGTGGCCACTGCTGAGTTTTCTATCTCAAATATCGACTCTTTAAAAGTTCTCAGCCCCTACCCACCATTCCACCACCTGTCTCGTCCCTGTGAATGATTTTACCTTGAAAAAGAAGACAAGCCATTTCACCTGGCTTTCTGAAACCCTTCTTTCTCTCACCATAAAGAACAACATAATCATGCTGCCTTTCTTCCTTTACTCTCATCTCTTGGAAGAAATTAAAGTTACTCAAAGATTGTCCCTTTCTCTTCTCTCTGGGTGTTTTCTATTCCCACAGCTTTAAGTACCATCTCCGTGGATGCCTCCAGGTTCACCTCCAGCTAACACACCTGTGCTCAAGACTGTTCAACTGCCCACCACATATCTCCAAATCGATGTCACTTAGGCCCCTCAAATACAGTGTCATAACCAGACTCTGCTCTCTGTCCCCAACACACCTAAAAATAAAATACAACAGAAATGTAGGAGACTTCCAAGCATACAGTTTACCTTACTGGTGGTTACTAAACAATGAATCATTATTAGAAACAACGTCTCTGGACTAGCAAAGCTTCAGAAGACTTTTACATGACCTCTTAGAAGGTCGGCCACACAGGGTCCTCTCTGGCCACATCTGGATACAACTTCTCTCAAGAGTCATCTAACCAAGGATCTTCAATTCAAGAACAGAACCAGATGAAGATGTTTTAGTACCAGTGCTGTGTAAAGCCCTGCTAACTGTCAAAGGCCAAACTCCTTCTCATAAAGGCATGCCTGATCCCAGCAACTAACTAACTCTCTTTCTTTGAACCTGAGATAACCATGCATGACTCAGAGGTAGAAAAAATTTCCAGCTAAGCTACATATTAGAGTGCTTCCTATATGTCAAACACCAGGGAACACACAAAAAGTATAAATAAGAGAGTCAGAGAATTCCAGGAAAAAGGACTTTAGAATCATAAGAGCCCTTAAAAAATCATTTTATCCACCTCATTACGATGATCTGTGGGTCAAGACATTGGACAGGTGACATCAGTCATGTTGTTCTTTGGAGTCAAAACTCCAATTCCAGACTTTGGTTCAGCATATGAGTGTCCATTTAAAAAACATGTTGCTTCAGGGAGAATTACACAATGAAAGACAAGGAAAAGGGAGGACCAGAGCATGTGCTTGAAATCTTTTAAGGGCAACAAAGCATGGGAAAGGGACCAGGGTCAGACGACATCCTCTGGCACTGATGACAGTGGGACTGGCTCAGAACACTGCTGCTTTCTGGGTGGGTGGGTGCAGATACACAGGAGTAAACGGAGGTCACTTGAATGTGGTGCATGAAACTCAAAAACTGCTTTGCTAAGAAATATGCATAAACTCCTCTAAATCTTTAAGATTCATGAAGCATTAACCTTTGATGATAATCTAGAGAGAGCAAGTCCAATCAAGTTTTCTGTTATGATCGAAGTGTTCTATGTTGGCACTGCCCAATATGTGAGACATGTTGGACAGTGCAGCTCTGAAATAAATGCAACCAAACTGGTGAAACTATTTTCTTACCAGTAATATTTTGAAGGAAGAGAAGAGGAATATTCCTTTGGCAGCATAACTGGATAAAATGAGCCCCCTATAAGCAAGTAAAAGAAAAATCTTTTTAGAGGAGGTTAACAGATCTGTAATCACCATGCATCCTGCAAACACCATACTGTGGTCAAAGCAAGAGCACCCTCTGCCTGGCTAGTCTGACCTTACGGTAACAGCAATGGTAATACCACAGTGCGGACCCACTGTCAAGGGAACACACGACTGTGGTTTGCACTGGACCTGTGTTGCCCAGGCATCTGTGTGATCACTGGCATACAACCACACCACAACTCCTGTGTCAAAGACAACACCAATCACTAACATGCCAAACAACAAGGAAAACTTAAGGAACAGGGAAGAAAGAATTGCTTGTCAACGAGAATTTCTGAGTCTCACCATAAGGCATTCTCTGGTTCTCCACTTTTAAAAGGATTGAATATAAATCCTTCTGGGATATCTATGTTTTGATGATCATCTGAAATTCTTTCATGCACCAAGGTTATAGTAAAATATATCTTTCCTACCAACATGTTTCAAATAAATGGGATTTTAGATAAATGCTAGAGACCCTTTAACCTTAAGCTAGGAAATTAGTTAATGACACAAAAATATTCCTTTCCCTATTTTTCTAAAGATTATATGAGTAAAAGAACAAGTAAACCATTTGTTTCATATTTTACTCTCTATTCACAGATGCCTTAACTTAGCTGAAAATGCCTTGGCAAGTACAAGATGGCAAAGCAATTGCTCAACCTCAAATACGAGGATGAAGAAATCACACAGACTTGTGTGGCTTAACTTCAACAAATGAAATGTCAGACTGGGGCCAAACACAGCTCTTCTCCTGGGCTTATCTGTGACAAGCCAGCAAATAAAATGAGGTGGAGTTTGCTGACCCCAGTCTGACATATTCTCTATTGAAATATGCATATTATACAGTCATTAAAAGTCAGTGTATTAGGAATATTTAGTATTTTAGGAAACACTCACTATACATACTATTAAATGAAAGCAAGCAAAATCTCTCTATAAATGGCAGTACCCATTCTGGTTTTTGTTTTTTGTTTTTTTAAGAGAGGGAATTAAAAACAAAACTAAGGAATATAATAAAATGCTACCCAAGGTTGTTTCTGCTAAGAGTGTAGCTGACTTTTCTGTTCTTTATTTTTACTTTACTTTCATCTTATAATCACAGTGGGGAAATGACAATGAATACAGAATCCAGAAACCAACTTTACTGGTAAAACGTTCCACCAAAGACAAACTCTTCCTAATTAGGGTATGAAAGTGCCTAATTGCCTCAGTAAGAGACGCTTCACCTTATTATTTATCTACCTTATGAAGAGGAAAAACAAAACACTAAACATTTTTATTTTCTGAAGAAAACATTTTATCAAATAAGTACATGAATTACATTTATCCAAGTTTAGGTAAATAATGAAACAATGATGTATGAAACTGAATACTGAACCAAAAACGTATTCATTAATTTCCTCTCTTAAAATCAGAGCTTCAGTAACACTTCTCACTATCTTCCTGTTTCCAAAAAGTGAAAATATAATCATGTTAAAATGATGACAGGATAGAATAGAGCAGATCACGTCTCAGAACTATAAGAAGAGTATTAATAGCTTTGAATCCCCCAAGTGCATGAGGGATATCAAGACAAGTATTTCCATATTCTTAGAATATATACACACAATCCATAGCAGTTATAATTCAAGTATTAGAACTTCCCTAAAACAGTCATCTGTATCTTAATAGTGCTCAAGACAGTTCATCATGTTTATGTAAACCTTCAGAAAGCTGTCTCAAACAAATATGCACACACATACATCATCACATGTTCACATACACACAGTGTTGTGTTTGCTAAGGCACCTGGTTAAATATTTGAAAGCTTTCATGCAATAAATTTTCACTCATTACTTGATATGTTTAAATTAAAACAGGAAAACCTTGGAACATTTTTAACAGTACTTGCCTTTTTTGCCGATTCAGAAAAGAGAACTCCATTGTTTCCAACGATACCTATTGGGTATCCAAATATTCTAGCAAATCCTCAAAAGAAAATTGAAAAAAAAAAAAGATGTATGTATTTCAGAAGGCTTTTAATTCACAACAAGCAGACATATTTATACATTGTTTAATTTCAAATCAATGTTTAAAATGTAGAGATTTCATCTATGGTACAAAACAGCTCAGGGCACGATTTATTTCTAAAGCACTAAAGTCTGGGATTCATGCTTTCTTGAAAGGGTTGTGTCACATGTAAAGTAAATTATCCACTTGTCCGATCGACAGGTTTGGTTAGATGATTGGGCCAGTGTGTCATCCATTCACTCACATAACATGTATGTAAGAGCATGTACTATGTACCAGACACAGAGAGTATTCTGAACCAGAACAAGTCAGAGACATGGATTCCTTAAAAGGTCAATGTCCAGAGTTATCAGCCAGTTTCAAGTGACCAGCTTGCCTTAAAATACCTGTGTTAATGATATCCCTTTGAAATAAAGGGGATAAACTCAGCAAAGACAAACCTTTTCAAAAAGCAGGAACAATCAAGCCTGGTGGTAACCGAGCTGAAGGTAAGAAATACAGTTAAACTTGGAAGAATGCATCGCCCCACTTTCCTTTTCTCTTTGCTTGCATCTTTTTCTTCCTCCCTTTCACAAGTTTTGTTTTTGTCTCACCACCACTTCCACTACCACTCCAAATACCCACTACACACATACCAGAAGTAAGAGAGAAGAAAAATGGTGAAGAAAACCCTGTTATTTTGAGAAGTAGATACTTCAGGTGATTCTAGGATGCTATTTTGTAAATCTGAAGGATGTGACTAGAGACATTTCCAAACCTACTGGAATATAAACAGGTGTCAAGTAGCTGGAAGCCAAGTATCAACAAACTGGGCTTGTGAGAGTGGGTCACAGGAAGTATGCTACCAGTTCCTGGTATGCTACCAGGCTCCGTCTCCAAGCTCAGGCTGGACAGGCTGCTGCTAAGACACCCAGTGCAGGGGGCCCAACATAAAGCAGATGCTCAAAAAGTGAATGGATAAGAGAGAATGTCAACCTTAAGACTTATTTTTGTTCTTTTCTCTGGCTTTGTCTTGATTTATTTTTTAAAATTCTTATGGCTATTTAAGAATAAGCAACAGAGAATAAGATGGTTGGATGGCGTCACCTACTCAATGGACATCAGTCTGAGCAAGCTCCAGGAGTTGGTGATGGGCAGGGAAGCCTGGTGTGCTGCAGTCCATGGGGCCACAAAGAGTCAGACACGACTGAGTGACTGAAGTGAACTGATGGCTATTTAATGTGATAAAATGAAACACTGATTTGATGTCATCTATATTTCTCCTGGCCTTTCGGACTAAAATCCCAGCCAAAACCCTATGCTGCACCCCCTAAAGGGCACTGCCACTTACAGAGGCAGTTCAGAGAGGGGCAAACTTGCCCAGAGCTCTAGCAGTCCATTCTGAATCCTGGCCTGTCCCACAGAAAAAGCTGGGAATCTGGCCCCTGTCTCAGCAGTGAGGTGCCAACCCTGAAGGTGTTCTGCCCTGTTAACTATTGAGACTTTCCATCCATCCTTAGTTCTGTTGAGTAGGCGCATCCCTTGCTACACTAAGGTCACCCACCCATGAAGGGAACATCTTCACCAACTTCCTATGGGTCAAACAAAACAGTGAAATGTCTATGAAACCCCTCTGGTTAAGTGCAGGGGCAGGAGGAAAGCTGTAAGAACCGCCAACAGCACCAGATCCTTGGAGAAATCTGTTCTCCCTCCTTGCTCCCACTCACGCCCCCTCCCCTCTCATTCCCCACCTCATCCTCTCTCCCTCCTCCCTCACCTGCTCATTCCCTCCTCCCCCCACCTCTCATTCCTCTCTTCTTCCTCTCACTCCCCTCCCCTCCCCTCAAACTTATTTGAATTCCAATACAGACTAAAAGAAATGGAGGAAAGTGGATATAACCCTGGTATTTTAGGGGGCAAAGGTACCATAAGTCTTTTAGCAAGTCCAGGGCAAATACATAAAAAGAGATGACAAAGACAGCCCATCCATCTTCAAGAAAGAAGCTGAAAGAGTTCTGACTTATTTTAAACTGCTGCCCAATGAGGGTTACATCCTGAGCTGTTTGGTGACAAATCCTGTCTATATATCAAACAAAAGGCTCTTAATCACTTAAACACCTACATACAAACACATAAATTCCACTCCCAGTATGAACCCTTCTCTTGCTCATAAATCAGAACAGAAGAAAGTGCTGTGACTTATCCTTAATCCTCAATGTATATTTGTAATTTGGATTTTTGCAGCTACTTGTTATCTCTACTCTGATATGTTATCTTCAGATTAACTACTACATTTTGGAGCTTCTACAAGACCAAATAAAATGCCTAAATTTGTTTTGCTGTTTGTCCAAGACAGATTATTATGGATCTGGTATCTATGTTTCAAATATTTTTTTTTTCAAAGGCCTACAAACAACACTTTAGGTAAATGAATTAACTTTTATAAATATTCTTATTTTGCTTTTTCAGACTTGATATTCTGTCCTGTATTCTCAGTCTAGTATTTGTGCGCATCAACATAAGATCTACACAGAGACAGTGAGAAGGTTTAACTCAGTCTACAGTTTTCTGGGAAACTAAAACATCACATGAAACTTTACAGTTGAATTGAAGACTAAAGAATGAAGAAGACCATGCTGAAATTTTCAAAACAATTATAGCTATCCAGAGAAATAAAAAGAACTACAAATATTTTGTTTATTTTACGATGATAAGAACCTTTTTATGCAGCTAAGGCCACAAAGTCACAGAATAAGGGCCTGGACCATAGGACTTCGCCTTCATTATTTTCAACTCTGGATGCATAAAGCCATTCAGCTGCAAATGATCCTTACAAAACACTTCCTCTTGAATACTGACTCACACATTTGTACTGCTCTAAATAACAAAGCTCATGCCAAGTGCATCAGAGGCGTGAGACAAGAGATCATTTGTTTTCAAAGCATCATAAAATGTTCACATTTTCAATTCTTCATCTTTATACCTGTAACTAATGTGTCTCCATATAAGGCTTTGAACTCATTGAACCTGCTTCCATCCACGATTCTAGCAATGACCTAAGAGGAAAAAATAACAATGTCCCTGAGAAATTTTATTACAAAAGGCTTTCTGCATTCAAGTTATTCATAAGGAAAACAAATTCTTAATGAAATTGTCACTTTCGCAAAATTTCACCCTGTTCAGAAAATCTCAGTAGAATTTCACTTGACTTGTATGGTTAATGCCCTGAAGTCATTCTGAGTCCTGATATTACACTTCACTATAAAAGCAACAGTACCACATGGCCAACCTAGACCAACCTAGACAGCATATTAAAAAGCAGACATTACTTTGCTGACAAAGGTCCATCTAGTCAAAGTTATGGTTTTTCCAGTAGGCATGTATGGATGTGAGAGTTGGACTATAAGGAAAGCTGAGCGCCAAAGAACTGATACTTTTGAACTGTGGTGTTGGAGAAAACTCAAGAGTCCCTTGGACTGCAAGGAGATCCAACTAGTAAATCCTAAAGGAAATCAGTCCTGAATATTCATTGGAACGACTGATGCTGAAGCTGAAACTCCAATATTTGGCCACCTGATGGTAAGAACTGACTTACTGGAAAAGACCCTAATGCTCGAAAAGATTGAAGGTGGGAGAAGAGGAAGACAGAGGATGAGATGGTTGGATGGCATCACCGGACATGAGCTCATGGACATTAGCTTGAGGAAGCTCCAGGAGTTGATGATGTCCAGGGAAGCCTGGTGTGCTGCAGTCCATGGGGTCGCAAAGAATCAGACACAAATGAGTGACTGAACTGAACTGAATCACATGGCATCCTACAAGGGCTGAGAAGCAGAGACTATAAGGGCTGGTTACTGGACTCAGAGCTTCCAGGTCTGTCAAATGTGTTAGCTGAGGGTCAGGGACTCAATCAGAAAGCAAGGACCCACTGCATAGAACAGGTAAGCATACTCAATATTTTGTAATAACCTAAAGGGCAAAGAATCTAAAAAAGTATATATGTATGTACACACACACCTGAAACCAACACAACATTGTAAATCAACTATACTTCAATTAAGAGCCTGTATTAAAATAAAAAGAAGAAAGAAAGAAAGGTCCAGCCTTAGAGTCAGAAGACTCAGGCTCCAACCTAAGGTATCACATATAATTTGTGGGTCATCCGTGTGCCCTGGAGTAAGTCCATTAGCCCCTCTGAGTCTCAGTTCCCACTTCTGTAGACACGGAGCAAAGTTGTGAAGATGTGATGAACTAATGACAAAGGAATCTAAGAAAATAATGCTGAGATGAAGAACCAGCTCTGACTCCCAACGTCTCCCAGCTCCATCACTGAGAAACTGGAGTCATAGACTGGTTACCTAAAATCCTCGAAACCTCAGTTTCCTCATCTGTTTAATAATAATAATACTTAGGTGCTAATAATAAAGCACACTGCCTGGCACTCCCTGAAAGGCAGCTGTTATTAAGTCTTCAATAAAGGTTCACTGATTCTGAATCTGACAGGTATTTCTACATACACACATGTACATATACATGTAATTAATCTATAAGAAATCAAAGTTACCAGATAATCGTCAGTGCTCAGCATTAAACATCAAGACTATTTCAAAGTGTTCTAAACCTGAAGCATATTCCAAATTCTTTTCAGAACCTATTTTAGATGCTATGCATCATTTTTTCAGTCCAATTCAAACTTCCTTTTCCCTGCTTACCATGTCAATCAAAGACATATTTTACAAGATGCAAAGGCTGAAAAATGAGTGAATAACTTACTTTGAATTATGTTTTAGTTATTTTCCTTAAAAGGTCCAATAATATAATGGGGACATAACAGTTGTCTAAGTGCTATGGAGCTCTAAAATTACACCTTTTGAAAAACAAACATATGACAATGACCATTCTTCCATACAAAAGCAAAATCACTCAAGGTCAAAGAAACCTGGGGCCACTTAACGTGAAACTCCCTTCTATTTGCTTTATGGTGAAGCTCATTCAACTACATAAAATACAGTAACTCATCTTCCCAAAGAAGTAAAGTTTAGGAAGCAGACATATCACATGATATTGTTCCTATTTGTAGGAGTGGAAATCAATGCTCAGAGGTTCAATCCAAGACCACTGACTAGGGAAACAAGGGCCAGAACTGGGTTTTTCAATTATACCCCAATGCAGTCCCACAGCTCCATATGCTAATAAGATCTCCAAACAAGGCTTATTTGCTATTACAGAAAAATATAATAAATTATCATCACAGTGATGAACATGAATAAGCTAGGGTACAATTTAAGAAGGCAGAAGTCTATCTTTATAAAAAGATACCAATTAAGATGAAATTGAAATACTGTTTAAAAAAAAGAAAGATGAACTACCACGAAGGCATGGATTTGCATCTGTTTTGCTTATTTCTCTACCCCTGGATCCTGAAATATCTTCACAGAAAAAAGATGCAATAAATACTGTCAAATATATGAAAAAAGTGATTATGCTTGAAAGAATGAATCCTTAGCCATCTAGAAAACTTAACTATTAGAACAACTCATTTTTCAGGGACATCATCCCTGTAAGTACCATTTTTTCTCTATGCCTGTAATTAACTGAGAAGTCAAACTGAAAACCTAATTTTAAAATGTATAGTTAACTAAGTTACCTTGCCAAAGTGAAGTACCAGTTGAAGCTCCATTAAAATCCAGGATTTAAGACTCTCTAACAATAATAGGGTATTTCCTAAGTAAATAATTGCTCACATCTATAAGTTGGATATTACATTCATCATTTCATCCAAAAATATATTTACTGAGTGTCTGCCATGTCACCAAGTACTAGTATAAGAATGAGGACCTAGCTACAAAAAAATATTTCATGAAGAACTTTTAAGTAATGGGGAAATGTTTATAATTTAAGCATTGATTTCCACTCCTAGTATATATGTATATACTATCTGAACTACATAAAAATGTAATTAAGCCAAAATACCAAAATATTGGCTGCTTTCTCTAGATGGTGGAATTATAAGCAATTTTTGTTTTTCTGTATTTTCTATATTTTTCACAATTAGCACATAATAGTTTTATAGTCAAGGGGAAACATAACAAAATATTAAAGGCACAGAATCTGATATTAGGACAATTTCCTAATTTAAAAAGTATTCTGCCAGAAAAGATTACATGCTGTATGCAAGCACTAAAAACTGTCAACCTAGACCATGGAAGACAATCCGTAACCATAGCAACATCTTCAACTGTAATCAAAAGTCTAATCCTTTGTTCATGTCCTATTGATCTAAAAGGGTATGTTTTTTCTTTCAACGACTTATTGACATTCCATCCATTTCCCGAAATAAGAACCCAAAAAAGAAATAGCTGGAAATTATAACGTTATCCTGCATCTTTCCTCATGTCCACAGGAATACAGAGCACTAAATATGAACAAAGCAAGCTTAGGCATCGTGCAGTGAAAACTTGCTGATAATTAAGAGGTGTTCCCCCTTTTTTCTTTTAGTAAGATATCTTTCCCTTTTATGTCCCATATATAAAACAGACTTCAGCTTTGAAAATGGATACATACAGCTTACTAATTCACACAAAGTTTAAACACATGCCTTAAACTATGACAGCATAGCTTATAGCTCACAGTTCCACTTTACACACCTCTCGGACATCAAAGTTCCTCTTAAGGTTGGCACCAACTATTCCATACAATTCATCAGCAGGAAATAAAGGATCTTCAGAAGGTTCAATGGTAACCTGCAGAAATACAGAATGATAACATTAGCATGTTTAAAGATATTATTCTAAGGTGATATAAGCCAAAATGCATTGGAAAAATTAAAAAATATAAGAACAAATTCAACTCACATCCATTTTCTTCTGATAATTTAGACTCCTCACAATCTTCCTAGCTAAGTGAAGGGCATGCTTATCATCCAAAGCGTAGTAGTCACTTACTCCAGACTTTCTACAGAGTAAAGCACACTAAAATAATCAGAACAGGGAAAAGGAAAATAATTAAATATCTTAAACCCCAAGAATCTTCTCTCATCTAAGGATGACATCTTTTTGCTCCTAAAACACTTTAATAACTGTCATATAATTTGATCTTCATAACATCCATGGCAAAACAGTATTATTAATCTTGATTTACAAACAGGAAAAACTGAGGTACCCAGAAGTTGTATACCTTGCCCTAGGACCACCAGTAGCGGCATAAGAATCCTCATCTTATATTTCTCAATCCTGACTTTCTTCTAGTAGACCACAGGGCCTTACTGACAAGAACTTCTATTTGATGCTCATCCCATACACCACAGATAAAATTGCATATGATAAATTTGAACCTCAGGTGGCCCACTTTCATAATGTAGTTCGTAACGACAACTGCTTGTACCTCACAGAAGTACAAACTGTGTACCTTCATCAACTGTGAAGATGATCACAACTTCATCATCGTCATCAACTGAGAAGATGCCAACTGTGACTTCTCATTTCTGAGGCCTCCCTTATCAAGTTACATCACCAGAGCAAGCTGTCGCAGGTAGCACACACAAAGGTTTGAAGACACTGTCCCTCAGATCAATGGTGAAAATGGGCACTGATAACGTGGAACTGTGCTAAGTGCCATGGAAGTTCAAGTTCAAGTTCAATGTGAATGATGCATGGGCATACTCTGGTTCTTAGATGGCTTGTTATTTCACTTGTGGATATATGGCTACAACTTTCTAACGAAATATTTTAAGAAGAACTATAGAGTCAGGCAAAAATATATACCTGAAAAGAATAGAATTTTAGTTTATTTTATGAGCAAAGATTTGGAGAAGGAAATGGCAACCCACTCCAGTACTCTTGCCTGGAGAATTCCGTGGACTGAGGAGCCTGGTGGGCTACAGTCCATGGGGTAGCAAAGAGTCAGACACAACTAAGTGACTAAACAATAACAAATGAGCAAAGACTAAGTTGCCATTGTCTAAATTTTGATGTCTTGTCTAAGGAAAAGACCAAATCCTTGGGAGATAGGTCCAGAATAGGACTCTCACAGTGGTTTCATGTCACCGTCCACTTTGGGCTTGGATGTTCCTCAGTAAGAGCAGGGACCATGTGTCCTCCAATACCTTTGCAAATGGTAGACCCTTCAGTTTCTTCAACTTAATAAGGCATTTTACAACTGACTGTATCTTTCAAACACTTCACACATAATATCAGCTGCATTTGCTGACTTCTATCTGCACTACAGTAACTCAGTAAGCAAACAGAAATAGAAGAGATTGCTTCCCAATCAGTAAATATTTAAAATAAAATGTCTTTTTAAAAACTGCCTAGTATTTACCAAAATAGTAGGAAAGAGAAACTTTTGATGAGACACTCTATTATGTAAAGCTTTGTGTCAAATTAACTACTAAGGATGACAAATCAGAGATGTACAAGTATGTATTTATTTATAACAAGAGAGACAACCTAAGCAACTTGTGACTAGTAAATTTTATGACACTGTTCCCAAAAAAGCCATCACCACCTAATCCACATGACTTTAAACAAGCTATTATTAATGATAATAGCTGGCAGTAATAGAGTGCTTAGTATGCCACAGACAGTGTGCTGTGAGGCAGAAGCAATTCACATCTCCATTTGACACATGAGGAAATGAGGCTCTGGGAAGTTTAGTAGTTTGTCTAGTCACAAGGGTAACAAGTGAGGCAAATGGAAGATGAATCCTAGAATCTACACCCCTAACTTTTTCACCTTTTGATTTTATATTGGAGTAGCGGATTGACAGGTTGTGTTGGTTTCTGGTATAGAGTTATACATATGTACGCATCAGTTCTTTTTCAAATTCTTTTCCCATTTAGGTTGTTACATAACATTGAGTTGACTTCCCTGTGCTACATAGTATATGTCCTTACTGGTTATCTACTTTAAATATAGCAGTGCGTGCATGTCAACCCCAAACTCCCTAACTGGACGCAAGCTAGCATATTCGCTCTGTAATTGTTTTTCAGTTCATTCATTTATCTGCCTAATTAAATTATAAATCCTTGAGGGCAGGGACTAGGCCTGAAATTCTTCTGCATTATTCATAACACTTAGTATAATTCATCCATCCACAATAAGTGCTCAGTGAGAAAGGAGTGAACAAAAAACTGAGGCAGAGATATAGGTCCCTTAGCCAGCTCTTCAAAAGGCACAGCAGTGTTCTTTGACAGGAGAGTGGAAATGTTGTACATGTTTTCCTTCTCCCACTCACTAGACTGTTCCTACAGCCACCTGCCTTCCTGGTTGCTGGTACGGTGGAGCAAAGAAAGGTTTACTGCGCCTCCCAGGCCACTGAGCTCAACCATTAAATCTACCTGCCGTTCACGTCTGGGTTCTTTAAAGTGTAGTCCTGGGTCCTTTTCCTTATCTACACTCAGCTGGAGGTGGACTTGCCTAGTCCCCTGGTTTAAATTCCATCTCTGTGCTGCTGGTTCTTAAGCACTGATCTGGGCTCCAGACACTTAGAGTTAACTGCCTACTCAGCATCTTTACTTGGATGTCTGGAGCATCTCTAACTTAGCAACACTTGATCCTTCTGTTGCATCCCAAACTCTGGCCCTCCTCCAGTCCTCCCAGACTCAGGGAATAAAACCATTTCATATCATCATCTTCGTTACCTCACTTTCCTGTGCCCCAATATATGAAATCCATCAACAAATCCCTCAATGCTACCTCTAAAATAGAGTACAAATGTGATTACTCCCTTCCTACCTTCACTACCACCATAATCATTTAAGCCAGCAGCATCTATGCTGTTGATACAACCATCCAACTGGTCCCTCATATACTCTTGCCAACCTACTAAGTAACCAGAGGGATTTGTCTAATGAAAGATTTGATAATAGCACATCTCTCCTTAATACTCTTCAATGATTTCCTAATTGCTCATAAGAATACTGATTATTATGATGATAAACAATGATAATAATGGCAGTTAACATTTATAGGTACTTAGTTTAAAGTAGGTATTATTTCAAGCAATTTACACATAATATCTCATTTAATCCTCACAAAATTCTAGGAGGTAGATGGTGGTATTCTTACTCCTGAACTCTAAGCTTAAATGGACCAACCGGTGATGTAATGGAGCTGGCTCATGCCTGACTCACAAGAGCCAATTATATGTATCTCTTCCTAATGCCATGATCAGTGACGTCTCACTGGTAGCTTAAAATCAGGCATAGTGGGATAATTTATACCACAAATACAGATTGGCAGATGCCACAAAGCAGGAATACAGATTGGCAGATGCCACAAAGCAGGATATTTTCCCTTCTCAGAGAACAAGCTAAGTGTTTACCTCTTATTGAGCATTTAGCTAAGCTATTCCACAGTATTCCATGAAGCCTGCAGGGACCTTGAATGGACACAGGCTCCTCAAGCAAGACCTAGGTAGCAGCTCAGTGACGGGCAAATGTGAGTTCTCAATGGCTTCCCCAACGGCCCTTGAGATCAACAGTCTCCACTGCCTCTCACGGCGGGTATGCTTATATACAATCTCCAAGGAACTTAACAGTACCCCCAATCTTCTGGTTTGATTGACCAATCCAGCCCTAGCCAGGGGACCCCAAAGCACTCCAATCATCGACCCTAATAAAAACGTGTACCCCAGGTCCTGGCTCATCTCTGGGTACTCTGGCTTGACCACCTCATGTGGTCCCTCAATGTGTGCTGTGTAATTTCTCTAGGACCCGTGACCAATAAACTTCTCTATTTCAGATTCTCTTATGGTCTATTGTTGAATCATGGCTTACCATCCAGCACCTTGTCCTCCACTTAACAAGTGTTAATTAAGCAGTGTCATAATGCCTGCATGCCACTGGGTTAGCTATACCTTCTATATGCCTTCCCTATACTTCTTTTTTTGTGGCCCTTATCATATATACACATCTATGTTCTATTTTGAAGGATGTGAAACAAACCTCCCTGACTAGACTATAAGCTTCTTAAGATCAAAGACAATGTCTATCTTATTACCTTGAATACCTAAACAGTGCCTGGTACATAACAGGTGTTCAATGTATATTTGTTAAATAAATGATAAATCTGTCTCCCCAGTCTTTCTAGGCTATAATAAAAACCTGATGCTCTTTCTTAGAAATGAAACACTAAATAATTGAACCCCAAAACTGCAGATCTAGAATAAGTAAACTGGTTTGATCTGGCAACTTTAACACTTGGAAAAAATAATTTGGAATCTCTTTTAAACAGACAAATGACAGTCAATCCCGAGGAGAAACAATTGCTTCTGTTTCACCTGCAGTGAAGATCAGCCCCTCCAAGATCCTCAGCCGACACCTCTTCTCCAGTGGCTGCTTTAACCTACAACAAAGATAAAAGTCAAAAGTGAGTTCTGTCCATTAGTTATTAAAATGCTTTCCCATATATCCCCTAACCTGGCTATATCTACCATTCTTTCTTTCATAGAACTACATATTTTGTTTCTCATTTAACCCACCTGGATAATACTGTCTCTAGTCTAACAGACAAGAAATGTGAACCCAGAGTCACTGAGGAACTTGCCCACAGACCCCAAGCAAGGGACAGAAACTGACTTGAACCCAGACATTCCTGGCTTGAAAGCATGCTCTTTCCCCTACGCTATTCTGCCTCCACATGTACCTTAAAGCCTTTGTATCTGTGCATATGTTGTTCCCACTGCCTGGGCTCCCTTCTTCCTCTCATCCACCCAATGAATCCCCACTTACCTTTCAAGCCCGACCTGCTCTATGTGGCTTTCCCTGATCTGTCCAGGCCTCTAAACCGTTAATGACACTCCATGGTATTAACAGAGCAATGCTTGCCCATCTGTGGTTCAAGTGTGTTCTACTTACACCTCTAATGGCACTTGCCAGACTGTATTTCACTAATTTGCGTGTGTCTCTCTCATATTTTCTATACTGTGAGCTCCTGGATGGCAGAAATTGTGATTTATTCATCTCTGGACATTCAGTAAATGTACTGGAGTAACGCTATTTTTTTTTTCACCTTTGCTGAATAATTCCAGTGACTATCAAACTCTTAAAGGTATAGCGTCTTTAAGATGGGGGGAAAAGTCTCCATGATTACCCACATCTAAGATTCATGAGAATATGACCCAAACGAAAGAAACATTAAGTAATAAATTAAGAATGTCTTAATTACAGTCTGAGAAGTTTTAACAAGAAAAATGATTTAAGGCTAAATGCCAACCTGGTCCCTTAGGAATCGCTTATTGATTCCTACTTCTTTGAGTTGGTTGATTTGTTTCTTTTTCTCCAAGTAATTTTTTAAAAAGCTTTTATTAGAATAATGAACATTAATCTAAAATACAGCATAAGGATGACTTATTCACTACATCAAAAGCTCTGTCTTAAATATTATTCTACAGGGAGGAGTAATTAAATTTTTTACCTCCAATTATTCCATCCCCAGAACTGAATTCTTGATTCTCTTCTTCCCAAAAAATTCAGTGTAAAATAACATTCAGTCCAGACAATAACTAGTTACAAAGGTGTCTGGATATTTAAAATTTTAAAAACTAATAAATAACTGATAAATTATATTCATTTTCTGGGAACTAATATCAACTGAAAAAATAAAATTTGTCATCAGTTAATACTGAACTTGTAGACTGGCTCTCATCTGCCCTCCACTGTCAAATTAATAGTCCTGCAGTGGAGGACATTTTGTGAAAACAATTAGACTATGAAAATGCCAATGAAGATTGCAAGGCTGCCCTTAACCCTATTCGTCAAAATGGCAGCCTTGCCGATTTTGTGCAAGCATGTCAGAATATCAGTACACAGGCTCACAAACCAACCATGCTAGCTCAAGCAATTTGTGCTGCCTTTAAAAATAACTAGCTCTTCCCCTGCCAAATGTTTTCAGTGTGAAAAACCTGGACATATGAAACAAGATTGCTGTTCCTGGCCTTAAACAGGTATTACAATACCTCCACCTACTTGTAACAATAAAACACCGGGACCGTGTCCTCAATACCAGAAAGGCAATCACTGGGCTAATCAATACAGATCAAAATTTCCTAAGAACAGTTCCCCTTTACAGCCAGGAAACAGCCAACGGGGGCCAGCCCTAGGTCCCACAAACAATGGGGACATAGCTGGTGAGGATCTCCAGCACACCCTTCAGCCTATCTCCAGCCTCTCAGCCGCTACCAGCAGAAGTGCTGGGTTGGACCTCCCAACCAGAGTAGCTGTTCAGATTAATGAATCGGACCCCCTGTAGCAATCCCTACTGGGATGCGAGGCCCCATTCCACCGGGGACCATAGGACTCATTCTGGGCAGAAGTGGTCTTACTCTCAAGGGCCTCCAAATTCTTCCTGGCCTTATTGGCCTAGACTATTCAGGGGAAATCAAAGTAATGGTTCTTTCTCACTCATTCCATGTCATTCCTCAAGGTCAACGAACTGCTCAGCTCCTTCTCTTGCCTTATCATGCCCCTAACAATTATAATCCTGTCACCAGAGGAAAACAAGGATTTGGAAGCACAGGTGATCAAGTAGTGTGCTTTACTCAACAAATACTCTCAGATCGGCCTACTTGTAAGGGTAAAATTCAAGGAAAAACCTTCTCTGGTCTCTTAGATACTGGAGTTGACTTCTCCATCATTACTCCTCATCAGTGGCCAGATGACTGGCCCTTGACTGAACCCCAGGGAAAAATCTCAGGCTTGGGAGAACCAACAGCTTGCTCAGAGTTCAGCAATTCTTCCTTGCCTAGGGCCCGACAAACAACTTTGCCTAGGGCCCAACAAACTGCTTACCCAATGGCACCTAGTTCTCTCCAACAAGGGAAAGGCAGATCATATGATGGTGAGAAGAGGGTAACAACTGGGAAAAGGGTCAGGAAAAAATTTACAGGGAGACCCTTCTCCTTTACCTATTCAACCCAAACTGGACAGAAAAGAGCTAGCATATAAAAATATTTAATGAGGGGCACTGACATTTTTCCGCCACTACAAGCCACACCTCTAATGTGGCTTACATCTAAACCTGTTTGGGTGGGTCAACGGCCTCTAGCAAAGGAGAAACTTATACATTTACAAGCCTTGGTAGAACAGTTTCAAGCAGGACACATAGAGGAAAGTACTAGTCCTTGGAATACTCCAGTTTTCACAGTCCCTAAAAACATCAGGCAAATGGAGGCTGCTTCATGATGTTCGAGCTATTAATGCAGTAATGCAACCCATGGAGGCCTTGCAGCCTGGACTCCCATCCCCTTTGGCTATACCTCAAGATAGGCCAATTGTAGTTCTGGATCTTAAAGACGGATTTTTTTTTTTTTTTTTAATTTTATCACAACCATAGTGTATCTTTTTTTTTTTTTTTTTTTTACATGTATTCCCCATCCCGGTCCCCCCTCCCACCTCCCTCTCCACCCAATCCCTCTGGGTCTTCCCAGTGCACCAGGCCCGAGCACTTGGCTCATGCACCCAACCTGGGCTGGTGATCTGTTTCACCCTAGATAATATACGTGTTTCAATGCTGTTCTCTTGAAACATCCCACCCTCGCCTTCTCCCAGAGTCCACAAGTCTGTTCTATACATAGGAGTCTCTTTTTCTGTTTTGCACATAGGGTTATCGTTACCATCTTTCTAAATTCCATATATATGTGTTAGTATACTGTAATGGTCTTTATCTTTCTGGCTTACTTCGCTCTGTATAATGGGCTCCAGTTTCATCCATCTCATTAGAACTGATTCAAATGAATTCTTTTTAATGGCTGAGTAATATTCCATGGTGTATATGTACCACAGCTTCCTCATCCATTCGTCTGCTGATGGGCATCTAGGTTGCTTCCATGTCCTGGCTATTATAAACAGTGCTGTGATGAACATTGGGGTGCACGTGTCTCTTTCAGATCTGGTTTCCTCGGTGTGTATGCCCAGAAGTGGGATTGCTGGGTCATATGGCAGTTCTATTTCCAGCTTTTTAAGAAATCTCCACACTGTTTTCCATAGTGACTGTACTAATTTGCATTCCCACCAACAGTGTAAGAGGGTTCCCTTTTCTCCACACCCTCTCCAGCATTTATTGCTTGTAGACTTTTGGATAGCAGCCATCCTGACTGGTGTGTAATGGTACCTCATTGTGGTTTTGATTTGCATTTCTCTGATAATGAGTGATGTTGAGCATCTTTTCATGTGTTTGTTAGCCATCTGTATGTCTTCCTTGGAGAAATGTCTGTTCAGTTCTTTGGCCCATTTTTTGATTGGGTCATTTATTTTTCTGGAGTTGAGCTGGAGGAGTTGCTTGTATATTTTTGAGATTAATCCTTTGTCTGTTGCTTCGTTTGCTATTATTTTCTCCCAATCTGAGGGCTGTTAAAGACGGATTTTATACAATCCCCTTAGCTCCACAAGACAAAGAAAAATTTGCCTTTTCGGTACCCAGTATTAACCAACAAGCCCCCATGAAACTGTACCAATAGAAAATGTTGCCTCAGGGGATGATGACGCTATGGCAACAGTATGTGGCTAGCACTCTGGAGGGAGCTCGATCCCTCTGTCCTCAAGCCTGCATCATTCACTATATGGATGACATACTCTTAGCTGCCCCAGAAGTCTCTCTTAAACCCACTTTTTCACCAAGTACAACATGATCTTATACGATGGGGACTACATGTAGCCCCCCCCCCAAAAAATTTAAAAAACAGCTCCCTTTTCCTATTTAGGTTATCAGGTTTCAGAACATACCATTATACCCCAAAAGGTATCCATTAGATGCGATAATCTCAAAACATTAAATGATTTTCAGAAGCTTTTAGGAGATATTAATTGGCTGTGCCCTGCTATGGGCATTCCTACCAGTTCACTTAAACACCTCTTTGAGACTCTTAAAGGGGACTCAGCCCTTTCTTCTCCTCAGACTCTGACGCCACAAGCTAAAAAGGAACTTGCTATAGTAAATATTGCCATTCAAAAATGCTCAACTTAATCATATTCATTATGATCATCCTATTCTGTTCATTGTCGTAGCTTCTCCAGAAGCCCCTATGGGAGTTGTATTTCAAGAACAGCCCACCTTTGGCATCATAGAATGGCTGTTGGCACATTCTCAGGAGGGCAAAACTCTGATGACGTACATTATTACTCTTGTGTCTAATTTAATTACACAAGAAAGAAAGCATACTTGCCAGTTAACTGGCTTTGATCCTCAAACTATTCACATTCCATTTGACAAAACTCAACAACAGCATCTTTGACAGACTTGCTTATCATGGCCAGTTGCCCTCGCTGTTTTTGCGGGCATTTTAGACAATCACCCTCCTGCACATAAATTATTACAATTGATTTCCCTAACTCCCTCTGTGTGGCCCAAAGTCACCAAGGCCACGCCTACCCCAGGAGCTCCTACTTCTTTTACAGATGACTCTTAACAACAGCAAAGCAGGCATTACCGATCCTGAGGAGTGAGAAACTCTAGTAACTCCCCATACCTCGGCTCAGCGGGTGCAACTAGTAACAGAAATTACAGTACTTGTTTCTAAAGACTTCTATTAATATTGTTAGTGGCTCTGCCTATGTTGTTGGAATGACCAAGTCTATTGAGACTGCAAAAATTAAACACGCTAATTCTGAGGAATTATTCCTCCTATTTCTCCAACTTCAAAAAGCCGTTTGCTCCTGTCCCTTTCCTTTCTTTGTTATACATATCCAAGCTCGCTCCCGTCTCCTGGGGCTGCTCACCCTTGGCAATCCTCAGGCTGACCTTTTAATGACGCCCATTTTTAAGCAGGCTTACAGTTTCATCAACTTCTTCATCCATCTGCCACTCCCTTAGACATCAGTTTAACATTACTAAATCCCAGGCAACACAAATCATTCAAGCCTGTCCTTCCTGTCAGCAAGTCAGTGCTTACCAACCTCCGTCACCTGGAGTTAACCCTTGAGGGGTTTCTCCAAATGAAATTTGGCAGATGGATGTAACCCATTTTCCTGAGTTTGGACACCTTAGCTACCTTTCTGTTTCTATTGCTACTTATTCTCATATGCTTTGGGCTTCTGCTCATCCCAGTGAAGCCACCATTCATGCCCAATGCCATTTATTAGCTGCTTTCACTCATATGGGCATTCCAAAGAAACTTAAAACTGACAACGGGCCAACTTACACCCGTAAAGCTTTTACAACCTGTTGCTCTCTCTGGTCTATTAGTCATTCTACTGGCATCCCATATAATCCAACTGGCCAAGTTATTGTTGAATGAGCACATTATGCTCTTAAAAGTCAACTTTTAAAACAAAAGGGGGAATAGCAGGGAAATCTCCACCTGCACACCTGCATCTAGCTCTCCTAACCTTAAATTTCTTCACAACAGATGACCAAAAATCAATCCCATATGAGAAACACCATTCACATTCTCCTTCAGTACAACACCCACAGGTCTGGTGGAAGGTGCCAGAAGGTGGTCCACGGGAAGGACCAACCCCCTTACTACCATGGGGAGGAGGATGTGGTTGTGTCTCCACAGGTCAAGGCCCTGGTTAGATACCAAGCTTTACCATGGATCCCCCACTTGCACCACGGGAGATGTGGGATCCCACAATCATCGTGGCGATGGTGACACAGAACCAGAGGGTGCACCTGGCGGACTGATCCCCGCCCCCCACCCGAGTGAGAATGACAACCACGCACTCGTCAGACACCTCCTATGACTTGAGGACAACTGAAGAGGCTCAGTCAAAAGAGCGAACAGATGCTCTTGCGCACTCAAACACCCAAGACCCAGGAGACCATGCTGCTGGCTATGGTGGCATTGGTCTCTGTGCTGTAACTGGGGCAGATGCTGATTTGTATTGGACTTATGTTCCAGACCCTCCATTAGCTAGACCCTTAACTTGGATTGACACTTACCCTACAATTTGGACCAACGATTCCCATTGGTTCCCTGATCCTAACCGGGCACCTCCAAATTTAACATAACAAGAGCCTTATATTATTATTCTGGACTGACCATGATAGTCCTGCAATCAAAACAAAAAGGGGGAGATGGTGCAGCCTGGCAGAGCAGAGACCAGAACCTGCCCCATGACTCGAGGGTGCGGCAAACTGCACCCTCGTGATTGTCCTATAAGCATGCCGAACGGACATTACTTGGGGCGGAACGTGCTCTCTGCCGCGCTTCACTGCCTGCCCCTGCGTCCGTCCCCATGGAAATAAAACAAGTCGTTTACTGATCAACAGCAAAACCTTAACTTGACTCCCTCTTATGGTGTGCTGGCCAAACTCCACAGTAGAGCTATTCCCTAATGATCTCACGTGACTTCTACCAATAAAAGTGCGGGCTCTAAGGAGCCATTTTGTCTTCCTGCCACGGAGAGCAGGAGGATTCCCCGCCTGCCAAACGATATGTGTCTGTCTTTTCATTGCGCGCTCGCCCCCGTTTCCGGTCTTTCCCACCTGCCGTGCTGGACGCAGCACTCACGGTAATGCAGCTGGTCAAATGGGAAGTGAGGGAAAGCCAGGGATAACATAATCCAGTCCCCAGGGCCTCCTTCACAGGCAGGTGGCCAGTGAGGGTGCACAGGGCCCCACTCTCAGAAGAGCCCTGAGCTTGGAGTTTAATGCTCGCTGGTTACCCTAGTGAAAGTCTAAACGATTTTCTCTCTGCATCTGTTTTTTGTGTGAAGTCTGATGGGACAGCGGAGCATGTGTGTTAAGCTTTACAGCCTCTGCTCTCCTGCAGTCTTCCCCCCATCAGCTCCCTGCTTCCTGGCTGACCGGTGCCTGTGCCCTGGTTCTTGCCCTACCTTCTCCTCCCCGCCCCTGACCAGCGACTGCTCCATCTGTCCCCAGTGGGGCTCTGGCTCAGGAGCAGGGTCATAGGTCAGGCGTGCACCCCAGGGTGTCTCTGGGAGGATCATGGCAGCCCATCACTGACCTGGGCTAGGCAGTGCTGAGATGTGCTCGCCAGCAGGCCACTGGGGGGTGGGTGGGGTGGGGACCTAAGGGCTAGCCTTTTGCCCATCCCCCATCCGGGTACCAAGCACATTTTCACATGGAGATGGCACAACTTTGGGGTCATAGTGGGCCCATGGGAAGCAGAGATGCCTGGGCCGGGGGTGGGGGGTGCGATGTCGTGAAATAGCAAATAAAAACACAACTGCTAGCTAGATCACAGAAGAAAGGAAAATGTTTTAGATTTTAGTACCTTTGACAGTGGAAACAACCCAAATGTCTATCAACCAATAAATGGATAAACAAAATACAGCCTATCCATACAATGAAACATTACTCAGCTATAAAGAGGAATGAAGTGATTCCTCAAAAATATAGATACAGAGTTACCACATGGCTCAGCAATTCCACTTCTAAACATACACCCAGAAGAAATGAAAGAAGGGGCTCACACAGATATTTGCATACACATGGTCACAGCCGCATTATTCCAAATAGCCCCAAAGTGGAAGCAACCCAAAAGTCTATTAAAGGATAAATAGACAAAATGCGGTATATACATGTACACTGGAATATTATTCAGCCTTAAAAAGGAAGGAAATTCTGACACATGTTACAACATGGACAAATCTTGAGGACATTTTCCTAGGTGAAATATGGCAAACACAGAAGGACAGATATTTAAATGAGGTTCCGAAAGTAGTCAAATTCGTGGACAAAGTAGAATCATGGTTTCTGGGGTAGTGAAGGAGGCAGGGAATAGGGAGTTGGTGTTTAATAGGTACAGAGTCTCAGCTGGGGAAGATGAGAACGTTCTGGAGATGGATCGTGCTGACAACTGTACAATAAAGTGACTATACTCAATGCCAGAGCACTGTGTACATAAAATGGTTAGAATGGTATAGTTTACATTGTGCATATTTTACTTCAATCAAGCAAGCAAGTCTATGTTCTTACCAAAAAGAAACGAACATGCAGGTTCTTACCAAGGGAGGTCCACCCAAGAAAATGGTACCCTGCTTGCGGACGATGATGTTTTCATCAGCCATTGCAGGCACGTAGGCCCCTCCTGCTGTGCAGGAGCCCATGACCACTGCTATCTGGAATCCAAGCACACAGGAGACTCATGCAGTCAGCTCCAACAGTGAACACAGCCTCTGGGTCTGCAGGCCCACACTCAGTGCCTGGGCACGTCACTAGCTGGTCCCTGTGTTGTCTTTGTTTCTCTTTTTTGGTTTTTTTCTTGTGTGTGTGGGGGGGGGGGGGTTGTCTGCATTGTGTGGCTTGCAGGATCTCAGTTCCTGACCAGGGATTAAACCCAAGTCATGGCAGAAAAGCTTGGAATCTTAACCACTAGGCGACCACGGAACTCCCTGTGTTTCATTTCTAAAATGGAGTTCTCAAAGTGTTTAGAACTGTTTCCTAACTTTTGTATGAAAACATTTTGAAGGGCTTAGGTCACACTTTTACAAAGCTTGTGGACAACCTCCCTGTCAAATGCAAGACTGGCCAGACCACTACACTGAGTGACTAATGGAGAGGAGAAACTCACAGTGAACCCACAAATTAGCAAAATCACATTAAAAGGACAACTTTTATACCTAATAATAATAATAGCAATAATAAGTCCTCTAAACAATTGCCACTTACCTCATAGGAATACTGAAATAATTCTCCAAATGAGAAACGTTAATTTTGTGTTACCCTGAATATAAGACTTTCTAAATATAAAACTAATGTTAGCCTCACAATTGAAAATCTTGCTCAAAAGAAAGTCAGTTGTGTTGAAGCTGGGTGATGCATACTTGAGGGTTCACAGTACTATTTTGTCTACTTTTGTGGGTGCTTGAAATTTTCCATGATAAAAGTTTTCAAAAACTTCTTGCTTAGAGATTAGTATGATACAATAATAAATATAGATTTTGCTGATTAGTCCTAGATAGGAATAAATACCACCATGAAGAAAAATAAGAGAAGTATGTAGTGAATATTTTCTTAAATTACCATATGAAAGTAGTTTTACTAATTCCAATATTCCATCAGTTTTCCTTCTAGTCATATAAATACCTACTTTGAAAAAGAAAAAAGCCACACTACTATTAATCCAAAAGTAGAAGGCAACATGAGTTAACATTTTTCTATTTAGATGGCTGTCACAAAAGGCATTTTCTCCTATTTCATGTAATGTTATTAAAAATAGCTGTAACATTTTTTTGTCAATATATAACAGAAATGTTTATCACTTACTGTTTTGCTTGTTTACTTATCAATCACTGAGAAGTCTTTTCTTCCTTTCTGATATAATTGACATACAGGGCTGCCTAAGTTTAAGGTGTATAGCATAATGATTTGACTTAAATGTATCATGAAATGATTATCTCAGTAGGTTTAGAAAATATCCACCATCTAACTTAGATGTAATTTTTTTTTTTTTTTTTTGGCTGCACCATGCAGTGTATGGGATTCTTAGTTCCCTGACCAGGGGTCAAACCCTATGCCCCCTGCAATGGAAACATGGAGTCTGAGCCATTGACTGCCAGGGAAATCCCTAAAATTTTTTAAATGGAAGAAAAATGTTTTTCTTATGATGAAAAAATCTCTTAGGATTTACTCTGAACAGTTTCATACATAACATAGAATAGTGTTAATTATATTATTCATATTGCACATTATATCACATTACTTATTTATAAGTTTGTACTTTTTGACCACTGTCATCCAATTTCCTTTCTGCCCAATCCCTATAAATCTGATCTCTTTTTCTATGGGTTTGGTTGGTTGGTTGGTTTTGAAGTATAATCAACCTAAACACTATGTTAGTTACTGTAATATGACATAGGGATTTGATATCACTATACATGTCAAAATGATCACCACAGTAAGTCCAGCCACAGTCTGTCACCATATAAAGATAGTACATAATTCCTGGCTGTATTCCCCACACTGTACATTTCATACCCATGGCTCATTTTACAACTGGAAGTTTGTACCTCTTAATCTCCCTCACCTATTTCTCCCCCTGCCCCTGCCCCACCTCCCTGCAGAAGTTTGTTTTAAAATACCTATGGCTAGAAAAACTCTTGCCCATGAGTACAAAGAAATATTCATCACAGCAATGTTTGTAATAGCAAAAACATGCAAATAACCAACAGGTCTATCAATACAATATTTTGAAAGGGATATTGTGGATAAATAAATTCTTTAAAAATCTGAGGCAAATGGTACTAATGAACATATTTGCAGGGAAGGAATAGAAATGCAGATAAAACAGACATGGGGGCTGGAGGAGAGGGGAGGGTGGGACGAACTGATGGAGGAGCATCGACACACACACGCTGCCGTGTGTGAAACGGTACAAAAGCTGGCGGGAAGGTGCTGGACAGCACAGAGGGCTTAGCCTGGAGCTCTGTGACCACCTGGAGGAGTGGGGTGGGGGGTGGGAGGGAGGCCAAGAAGGGAGGAGGTGTATGTACACATATAACTGATTCACTTCGTTGTATAGCAGAAACTAACACAACAACTGCAAAGTAATTATACTCCAATAAGAAAATGTGAGGCAGATAATAACAAAGGAAAGGTCAGCACTTCATAAATCCAAGTGGAAGGTACATCAGTGTTCTGTTCTATCAGTCTTGGTACTTTCAAGTTTGAAATGTTTTATAGGTTTAAGTTTATATCAGAAACAAAGGACACAGTTTCACCTTATCACCCTGTTCTCTGCACTAGAACACGAGAATCCACTTAAACTAGTTCACTATCAAAAAAGTCAAGAACTAAAGAAGAGTCACAATGATGTAAGAATATAAAAGAGGACAATTTTCAAAAGATCTAAAGAGGCACAGCAGGGTTCCATGAAAACAATATGGAACAAAAGGAGAGAAAAGAGGAGCAACCGCCAGTAAGTAGTGGTCTGAGACCAAGAATGGGGCGGAGGCTGGGGGGGCGCGGGGGGTGAAGGAGACAAAGAAAGACGAGTTATTTTGTCAAAATGTCCTAAGACAAAAATGAGGGAAATGAAACGAAATGCCATTCTGCCATCTCTGGGTGGAGAGAAAAGATGTACCAATTTAGCAGAAAAGTCTCTCAAGTGAATAGCTGACAAATTATTAGCACATCTAGCCAGGGAATTTTACCACATTCCTTTTCTTGGGCTCTAAAATCACTGCAGACTATGACTGCAGCCATGAAATTAAAAGACATTTGCTCCTTGGAAGAAAAGCTAAGGCAAACCTAGATAGTGTATTAAAAAGCAGAGACATCACTTTGCCAACAAAGGTCAGTATAGCCAAAGTTATGCTTTTTCCAGTAGTCATGTAAGGATGTGAGAGCTGGACCATAAAGAAGGCTGAGCACCAAAGAATTGATTCTTTCCCTGGTAAAGAATTTACCTGCAGTGTGAGAAACCTGGGTTTGATCCCTGGGTTGGGAAGATCCCTTGGAGAAGGGGAAGGCTACCCACTCTGGTATTCTGGCCTGGAGAATTGCATGGACTGTATAGTCCATGGGGTCACAAAGACTCGGACATGACTGAGCAACTTTCACTTTCGAACTGTGGTGCTAGAGAAGACTCTTGAAAGTCCCTTGGACAGCAAGGTGATCAAACCAGTCAGTCCTAGAGGAAATCAACCCTGACTTTTCATTGGAAGGACTGATGCTGAAGCTCCAATATTTTGACCACCTGATGTGAAGAGCCAACTTGTTGGAAAACACCTTGATGCTGGGAAAGATTGAGGGCAGGAGGAGAAGGGGGCAGCAGAGGATGAGATGGTTGGATGGCATCAATGACTCAGTCGACATGGGTTTGAGCAAACTGAGAGACAGGAAAGGACAGGAAGCCTGGCGTGCTGCAGCCCATGGGGTCACAAAGAGTCGGACATGACTGAGAGGCTGAAAAAACGACAACAAAGAACACTTCAGGTGCCTTTTCTCTGCAGAAGCTCTATAATCAAGGAAACCAACAATCCACTTCTCCAAAGCCAGAGAAGATATCCCAAATGTATAGAGAAGACCTTTGCTTAGTAATAGGTAGGAGATTGTGGCAGGCAGCTTCTAAAACACCCCCACCCCACTTCATCATCCTAGACTCTTGGTATGCACATCCTGTATGATCCCACTGCCTAGAGTGTGTGGTGGATCTAGTGATATGCCTCTAACAAACGGAATATGGCAAGTGATGGGACATCACTGCTGTGCCCAGGGTATGAGAGACCACGTCTTTTGTCTTGCTGGCCCTCTCTCTTGCCCACCTGCTTGTACACTCTAATGCAGCAGCTGACATGCTGTGATGTGCTCTACAGAGGCCCACAATAGGAAAGAACCTACGACAGCTCATAAGGAACTAAGAAAGGCCTGCAGAGAACTGAATCCTGCCATCAGCCAGTGAATGAGGTACGGGGTGGAGCCTTGAGAGGATGGAATCAGTCATGTGATCTAGCTAAGAGCAGGGCTCCAAGATCCAGCTAAGCTGTGCTCAGACCCTGAATCCATAGAAACTGCAAGACAATAAGCATTGTTGTTTTAAACTGCTGTTTGGGGATAATTTGTTCTGCAGTAATGGAGAACTAATACAGAGATCAAAAATCATCTCCCTCATGTGACTGCAGAGAAGGCAATGGCACCCTGCTCCAGTATTATTGCCTGGAAAATCCCATGGATGGAGGAGCCTGGTGGGCTGTGGTCCATGGGGTCGCTAAGAGTCGGACATGACTGAGCAACTTCACTTTCACTTTTCACTTTCATGTACTGGAGAAGGAAATGGCAACTCACTCCAGTGTTCTTGCCTGGAGAAACCCAGGGACGGTGGAGCCTGGTGGGCTGCCGTCTATGGGGTCGCACAGAGTCGGACACGACTGAAGCGACTTAGCAGCAGCAGCAGCAGCAGCAGCAGCATGTGACTGCAGCTGAGGCACATCTGAAGACCTGGGATAATCTGCATTTGAAGTGCTTTGTTGCTGTTGCTCTTTAAGTATCTGTGAACTGTTCCTCTAGCCCAGAGGTGGGAGACAGACCAGAGAGTGATGAGAAACCAAGGGAAAGACAGGGATAAACTGTGACGCCATTATGCCAAGTGAAAGAAACCAGTCACAAAAGACCCCTTACT